TATTAAAATAGATTTGGACGGTTAATTTCGTCAATGGGGACTATTTTTACAAATTATAATCTAATTCTGAGTACCAACTTATTCGTTATTTGGGTCAGGGATCAACTTGCTACTCGGACAATAAGTTAGGTGTCAAAACTCAAATTTCCCCAGTACATAGACCCGAATCATGCACTTAATATTATAGAAAAGAAAAGTTCACCATGCTAACAATGTATCCATGCTTTCAATTATTATTCAGCTGGCAGCTGTAGCAGCACTGTGTGTGCAGTATGAAGCTGAGTTTCGACCAAATATGAGCATTGTTGTCAAGGCTTTGCAGCCACTATTGAAGTCAACTGTCCCGGCCTCTGAGATATAGTGGTATTTGAAATTCTGCCATAATTTGGGTCCATTTCTGTGTGAATTTATTTGGTCACTCCACAAATATATATTTTTTCATTTTTTGGGAAATCGAGACGTGTATGATTGATTGCTATGGTTCTTTCAAGTTTGTTGCCTATTTGCATTATGTTGGTGTTGTCTTTTAAATAGGGATTGAACCATGTATACGGAAGAATCTAAGTGCTGTCAAGTTTTTACATATACAGATATATTTCAGCTTTTATTGTGCTTTATTCTTGATGGTTCTATTATGCTTCAGACAAATGACTATATCTAGTTGTACCCTTCTTGAGACATTAATACAATGCAAGCATTTCAATTAAGTCTCCGTTTGGCAAAATTTATAAATCATGCATAAATGATCGAATTTAATTTTCAACCACACATTTTAATGGACGTACAAGTACTTTCTACTTATCCACCGTTCATTTTTTATTTGTAAATTAAATGACTGTATATTCTTCCTAAACAAAGGTATAACTACATCATCTCCACAAGCAAAACTTTGAATGTTTTGATCATTCAAGATCGAAAAAACTTGATCCCACTTGTAACTACGTATGTTATCGAAATGCTCTAGGCTTTACTTACACAGAGGCTTATAGGGTACTTTAAAAAGCCAACAAACTAATTTATTTAAATCATTACTTCATCATAATTGCAAATAAAATGACAATTATGAAGTATTCGAATGGTGTGTAACGACTTCGAAGTAGAGAAGATTAGGAGTTACACAAGCTTATATAATTAATATGTTCTAATTTCCAAGCATGATGTAGACTATAAGTGAAAAATTCAAAGCCTAAACTCGATGTTAAATATTTTTATTACAACAATATTGTAAGTGTCTTAGGGATCGGGGCGGGGCCGGGGGGCGGGGTCTGCCCCGTTTCTTGCCCCGTATAATTTTTTTTTTAATAAAGTTAATGTCTAAAATAAACATTCGAAAGTCGAAACATACACTGTCCAAAAAAAAAAAAGAACAATTGCAATTAAAATTACGTTGTCATTGTACTAAAATTCATTTTTTGATTCAAAATTTGTCATTTTTCAGACTTCATGACTTCTTTCATCAACAGAAATAGAGATCACACAAGATGGATCCTGAAAAACAAAAAAATATTGTAATCAATATCATTATAAAACTTGTAATTAGGATTTTTTTTAAAAAAAAACTTGCCCCGCCCAGTCAACCCATCGGGGTGGGTTTTTTTCGCCCCGTTCGGGGCGGGGCGGGGCGGGGAAAACTGCCATCCCTAAAGTGTCTGTTTATATTTTTCCTAGAGTATATGTCATAGTTTTGAGTTATTTTGACAATATCGACTTTATTAAATGATCAAATGTAGTAAATATCATCATTGGAGAATACATTATCCAATGGCACGTGATTATTACGAATAAGAACATCAAATATTTCGAATTTCTTGCCTCCGAAAAATCTACAATAAATTAATCTTTCTCGAAAATCCATTTCAATGGCATCGATTATAGATGTAGAAGAAGCGAACAAGTATTTTCCTTGCACCAACGAATGTGATATGATTGCTCGTAAAGTAAAAGTATGATGTTTAACTGCACCATATTGAAGTTTAGTGACCTCCATTACAATTTTAAATGAGTGGACGTGAAATTAGACCAACGAGCTTGCACGTCCATTAGTTCGGTCGAATGCATCAACTACCGTAGGCTCATTCACATAATCAATAGGAAGGAAATGATTATTTGTAAATTAAAGTATAATGGTTTGATTAGTCTAATTACAACAAATTATGGTTTGATTAGTCTAATTACAACAAATTATGGTCTGATTAGTCTAATTACAACAATTTGAAGTTCAGACTTAGAGGGTGCAATTAATCCCAATATAAATAAACCCTCCAGAGTCCATCTGTCTGTTCGTTGTCTATTTAAACCCTCTGAACAGTGAATTTTCTTTCTTCTCTTTTCTTCTCCTCTCTTTTCACCTCTCGTATCTCTCAACACTGAAATTAGTACCTCTTCTCTCATGGCTGAGACTTCGGATTCTGCAGCTGCCCTCAAAATGACTAGTTCTCCTAGTCAATCCCAAGAATCCGTCCCTTCTCCGAAATTACAGTCGTCGAACGAAGGGGAAATTAAAGAAGCTTTTCTTGATGATGCTAATAACGACCAAAACAACAGTCTTTTACTGTTAAAGGAGCCGGAGTGTGGATTTTCTGGTTATGACCAAGATTCAAAGGTGGAGATGAAGACCCTCCATTGCTGCGGTCGAGTCGTTCAAGATTCACCCTCTGGTGATGTTGCATATGGCGACGCATTGGTCAGTTCTGAGATGATTATCCCTGAAATTCAAGGACCACCTTCTTCTTGTGTGGCGATGTTTGCTGATGATGCATTTGGTTCAAGAACTCTGAAGGAACAAGAAGGCAATTTTGCTGATGATACAGTTGATCTGATAAATGTGAAGAAACAAAAAGAGGAGTGTGCTGATGGTGCAATTGATGCAATAACTGTAAAAGAACAGGGAGGACATTTTTCTGATGGTGTAATCGATTCAGTTACAGTGAAGAAACAAGAACAATTGGACTCCTTGGAGAAACGTTTGAAGATTCAAGTGATTGACGAGACAGCACTCATTGAATCACCATGTCTCGGAATTGGGAAGCGCCAAGAAACTCAGGTTGCAAAGGAGAAGAGGCAAAAACGTAGGCGCTCGAAAGCTGCGAAAAACGTGGAAACTTCAGGAACGGGCTCCCAAGATTGTAACTACATTGGGAATAAAGGGAAGAAAAGACTGGTGTATTCGAGAAAGGAAATGGAGGCTTTGAGGTTTGTGGGATTGGAAGCCCAGAAGAATAAGTGGATTGAAATATACTGTAGACTCGGTCCTTTGGTGGCAAAGGAGTATGATGAACTGACTCATCATCAGAAACACAATGCCACTGGTTTTGACTTTGATCCTAGACCCCAGTTCTTGAGAGCTTCCGTGCCCTCTAGATCCTTTGGTGAGCAATTTTGTCATTTCTTTTGATTAATAGTTAGGCTACAAATCAGATATTTGTGTGTTTCCTAGATTTTGCTAAAATTTGTTATTTGCCTTGATCTCGAGCATATTGTTATCGTTATTAATTCTTGTAATTTGCTCTTCCAGATTTATGTTCCACAGATTGTCTTTTTAATTTGACTTTTCTTTTTCTTTCAATGTTCTGTAGTATTTTGTTTGGTCTCTCATCATCATATTGTTACTCTGGCAGAAATTATGTAAGGCAAATCTCTTGTTGATGATGGCATTTAACTTGCATGATTTGGGAGTTTGTTATGAGATGAGCAATAATTAGAACTTTTAAGGGACAAGAAGATGTGGAAAATACTATGGAATTCCGTTGTGTAGTTGTCTGGTTTAATTTGAATTTAACATGGCTCTTGGCAAAATGTGTGTCAAAATTTACTCGTGTTATTCTGTTTTTTATTTTTTACATTCATTTTGGGTTTTGAGGGAATTCGAAAGGACTCTGAGAAGTTCTTATATTTAACTCTTCAACTTTTACTCGAGTACTCAGTGATTTTGAGCTGAATCACCAGTGTGTGATTGAGTTTAATGTGCAAGAAGTAGCATCATTTTGACTCATAATTATGAGTTTACTAAAGAATAAAAAGAAGAAGAGAAGAAACCCTAATTCAGATTAGTACTCCTACTAAAAATGAATATTGTTTTGAAACATCTTCATATACGTCAAAATGAAAGAGTTTAAACACTAATTATGAATATTTTGAAACTTTCTTTCATTGGCTAGTATTTTTTTTCTTCCCCTTGATGGTTAAACTGACGGAAGTTTACTTATAATTCTACATTTCTGCTTTTCTCCAACAACTTTGATATCCATTGTTTGTCTATATGATTTGCTAACCCTGCAAATTTGGAAAATTAAATTAAAAAATTGTGGCCTTTTTGGTTATTTCATTGAAATGTGTCCTTGAGTACTTGATATTTGATAATTTTCACTGACCCTGAGACTTTGTTGGCTGGTAAGGGTTATGTTTTTTACCTTTTTCTAATTCCATGTTTCTCTTTTATCTTGGAGTTCAGCTGTGGTTATCTCGTAATCTAAATCCCTTCACCCTTTTGCATTCTTTTTCTTTTTTATTCTTCTTAAATATTTTTGCTTCTCCTCATCCATCATTTCTTCTTTTCTTTACATCTCCTGCTTTATTCTGATCTAAGTTCAATTTAAATCATGGATTATAACTAGGTCCAAAAATTCTGATTGTTGGGGAACAATGCTTGACTCTTTATCCCTTTTTTATACTTCTTGTTCTCGTTCTACTATTTAGCTTTTCTAGTTTCCCTTTGCACCCTTATTGTTCTCATTCTACTTTATCTTTTCTAGTTTTCCCATTGCTTTTATAGCTTGTTTTCTATGTTGAATATGTCTGGGCCTGGTTTCCTAAATCACTGAGATTTCCATAATTTAGACTGGATCTGAAAAGACCTGCTAGTTTTTAGTATACAACCTTTCAACTTGTGAATTTTCTTTCGCCATTTTTTTCTTCTGCTTCATTGTTTTTTAGTTGGGGGAAGGAGCCTTGAAAGGGGAGGAATTTTTATTTATTTCTTATTTTTGGGGAAAAATGAAAACATTTTAAAAAGTTACGTATTGGCTTATCGGCTTTTATTTTTTATATTTTCCTTGTAGATCTTTAGCTCTTATCGTGTCAATTTGATGGGATTATTTTCTGTGACAGATGTGGTTGCTGCAAGGAGAAAGGGGAACCATCTGAAAGTCTCTGTGCGCTGAAGAATGACTTCTAGGAATGCGAAGATATTTTTTGCTCCAAAATACGTCTCTAGATTTTTGTACTAGAGTTAGAATAGTTGATGACTTTTATGGAGAATGCTCAGATAGTTCATATGATTGTTCTGGATTAGTTTAGGTTCCTGGCAGTTGAGACTTCACTTGTAAATCATTGATGTGCTATGCAGTTCTTTCAAAATGAGTATATGATGGCACATTCTAGATGTAAATTTGTGTGCATACGCCTTCAACTGTAAATTGAATAAAGTGTGGTAGAATTTGTTGTTTGGAATGTTGTACACGTGTTTTAATTGAATAAACGGGTTTTTCTCTTAAAAATCTTCGTGGAAAATGTCTTGTTTGAATTTCTTTTCTTCTCCTTTGTGTTATTGATCGATGAATAACTTTACGTTGAAGATGACACATGTTTATGACATTTGTCCACACTTTTCAGGTGAAGGCTGTCCTGAGCTTGCAGATAGTGCCTCATGTTTTCCTGGAAGTGATGAACTTGACTGCTCACTTGTAGAAGTAGAGTGTAGTGAAGATGACACCACTGATGAAGATTACAGTAGCGTACAGAAGCCTGCATTTTTCGTTAAAGGAGAACCTGACTTTGATTCTGGGCCGCCACAAGATGGACTAGAATATCTTAGGCGTGTAAGGTATCATTTTCTCACCTATCAAGATTTTGTGGGGGTGTGCATTTGTAATTTATATTTTTCGTTTCTGTTAGCTTTGTGATTGGAAAACTTGTTCAGCATGTTGAATGATTGATTTAGTACCTTATTTTATATCTAAAACACGGGTAATATCTGAAGCCTTTTTAGCTAAATGATATACATTATTTCGTTACATTATTTGTACTTTTATTTTTCTTATGTTAAAATATTGGGTGAGCATTGTTTTGTCCAATTTCACACATTCGGGGGAGGAGAGAAACGTTGGTGGTGATTAAAATTCCATTTGACTCATCTATTAAAATCACGGTTCTGGTTCTACTAGGGATATCATTTAGTACAATGATATGTCTTAACATTTTATATTTTTTATCAGCTTTTCTCTCTCTCTCTCTTTTTTTTTTTTAAAAATTTAGAATATGATTTCTTTTTTCGTTTTTGTTTAGAATATGATTTCTTTTTCTTTCTTGATTAGAATATGATTTCATTTTTCATGTAAATTAGGATTTTAGTTTTATTTCCTTTAGTATTTTAGTTTACTTTCCTTATTTTAGTAAGGTTAGGAAAATATATAACAAAGACTTGTACACTTTTCAATAATCAATTTTAATCCACTCAATACATTACAAATTTTGAGTTTTTCAATTTTATTTTTGTTTGAAGAATTTCAATTCCACTTTAGCATCAAAATTGGTATCAAAGTAAGGTTTGCCTTTTAGCTGATGCTACCTATGGTGGTAGTGGTACACATCCCCAGGATGATGATTAGAGAAATGTAAAATTATAAGCATTGGTCATTGGTCCAAACTCCAAAATATGGAACGAACGATGGATATATTTAAAACACGTCTGATAAGGATTTGTAGACTTTGACTACTGCGAATGTTGGTTGCTTCAACAAGCCCAGCACATGGCAACATGTGGCTCAAAAAATATTTCGGCTCTCAGCTATATTTGAATAATCACAAGCTATTCAAGGATTCAGCGAGAATGTAACATGATGGTAGACAATGGGAGTTGTGGGAACTTAGTATCCGTAGCATTGGTGAAAGCTTTAAATTTAAAAATTGAAAAATACTCATCTTGCTATCAAGTTTTACAAATTAAAAGGGGGCAAAAAATTCAAATAATGGAGGTGTGTTCAATTGAACTTTCTATTGGAAAATAATACAAAAATGAGATTGTGTGTAATGTGGTAGGGATGGACAATTTTCATGTACTTTGTGGACTCCCATGGTACTATGATGTAGACTTACATAGGTTGAGATAACATCTACGTGTTTTGTTGGTATGATAAGAAGATAGTGAAGTTCTGATAGTGACTTTTGTTTGAGACCCTTAAACCTGAAATTAATAACACCTCCACGTGCCCACCCCTACCCAACCTCCATTACCACCATCACCACCACCCCTTCCCCAATGCAACCACGGGTAAAAAACATTCAAATTCGTAACCGAAATTTCAGCTTGAATCGCAGATTGCAACCACTGGTTTTTTGGTGGCAGTGGTGGTGGGTTGGTAGTGTTGGCTTCGCGACTGGAGCTCCAGATAACCATTCCCATCGTGCACAGATATGTCGCTGTTGCACAGCCGCTTCCACTTGCAATGGTCATGTCACCCATCTCCTTCCTTTCACCTCACAGATAATGTCATGGGTAATTGTTAGTTTCTGAATGAGCAGGGTAATAAAGTATGATCAGAAAACATTAACCACTGTCAATGCTTGGTATGTCTGATTTGATCTATAAGCTCCTCTGCAGTAGTTGGATAGCTTGTTGCAGATGTTTGACAAAAGCTTGCAAATCAATCCCAGATATATATAAAAAATTTGAATAACTATGATGATGGCACTCTCTCAAACTATATGTTCTCTCTAACATACTTCTAGTCCTGTACATTTTCTTTTCGAGGTATGGAAGTTTTAGATTTAATTCTGAAAGTGCCTTATTTGTTCTTTAGGTGGGAGGCTGAACAAATTCCAAAAGTGAAGGTTGCGAAGGTTGACAAAAACAAAGTAAACAAAGAGCAGACTGTTTATATGCCCCAAATTCCTGATATTATGAAGTGCCTTGATAACTTATTGCCACTCAAACAGTGGGAGGACTCCTTTCTTGCTGATTTTTCAAAGCTAAGGCTGGTAACATCTTGCTTACCTTATTATCTTCTTTATACGGCCTTCTGTCTCAATATATGCAAACAATCATGCACAAAGATAATTGTATACTATACAGTGAGAACTCTGCTTCCATCTCCTGACTTTTGGCTTCACACAGATATTCCATTATAGTACTTGAGATTAGTTGATGGAAATAATTGTCTGGCGAACTTCTGTATTACTAAAAGTTATGCACATTCAGTGTTTTCAGCCTTCTTGCATCACGAGAGTTGTATGCGTTGATATTTATGCTGATCATCTATAAAGTGTCAGAAGATTGTGCCTCTGCTTTTTTCCTCATGAAGAAATTCAAATGATTGGAGTTTTTCCACTTGGAATTTTTCAGTTCTAATTCTTGTTACGTTGTTTTGACTAGATTATTTGTAACCACGTGTAAAGATAATCTCTAGTTATCACATAATTAAAAAACTATTTCACGTGCAATGCACTGTTCTCACAATTGCATGTTCTTGTTAAGGGTTTGTCCCTATGCTTTTGTATTGCTGCATAGCTGAATTGAATCTTCCTTTTTCAGGGTCTAGTGCAGCTTGAGATTGAAGGTTCTAGTGCTAAAGTTTCTGCCAAATCGCAATCAAATCATGAAGAAGAAATGGTGGATCAGATATCTGAAAGTATGATCTCTGAGAATTTTGATAACTTATCAGTTGAAGATAATTCCTCCATACCAGAAACAGATGATGCAAAAGTTGATTCACATTCTCCAGAAACTTCCAGTTCTAGCATCAACTCTCCTACTTTATCAATGATTTTGAAAATGGATTCTGTAGCTCGAGTTTCCATGTTGAAAAGGCGAATAAGCTCGGTCGAGAGTCTGAACACTTTATCACGTGATGACTGTTTATGGCTGTTTGCTCTTTGTGCAGCAGTTGATTGTCCTCTTGATGCAGACACTTGTGCAGCCCTTCGATCATTACTTCGGAAGTGTGCAAGCTTGCGTGCGGCAAAATCGGAACTTGATGATGATGTTATTATGCTAAATATTCTTACGACGATATCAGGAAGGTACTTTGGACAGTTAGAAAATTGAGGTATACATTTTAGAAAGCATCCAATGAAGCATCATGAGATTGCCCTACACAGGAGCTTCTTTACCGTATTTTGAGTTGAGGTGGATATTTATTTTGATATCTCAATTATCGACACATTTTAGTATTTTGCTGAACTATACCCTGTTGTTCTTTAAACTAGTAGTGACAATTAATGTTTTGAGTTTCAGATACCTTTATTAAAACATGTTTGAAAATTTTAGTTGGAAGTATATTTGACTTGCTTTTGTTCTTTGCCAAATATGTTCTCTCTCCAAAAAAAGTAGGAAAGTTGGAATTCCTTCTGGTTGTACAATGCGTTCGGGAGGGAAGAATCGCTTCTGAGAAGGAATTTATTGATTCTCTCCTAATTATTAGGACTGTAGGTGCGATGATTTACTGTACGTGCAAGATTTCTTTGATTTAAGTTCAGGGTAATTTAGCGGCATAGGGAAAAGAATTTGATTACATCATGAATGTTCCACTTCACTCGTATCTATTTTTTTCTCTTCACTCCCCTTGATTCACACTTGAGCTCATATACTCATTGGACCTGTTTGGCGTGAATATGTGCCACTATAAATAACACGCGCAACAAAGAAATAACAATACAATCGAAACCTAACTCCAATATCACGTCAACTCATCACATCTTGAACATTATACCACCCAAGAAGATAAGTTGGAAATTATAATATGGATGTGGAATTAATAATTTTACTGCGAATGTATATTTGATTCTTAGTAACTTATTTTATTATCTACTGCAATATACATATCATGACTAGAATTGTAAGTTATGAGCTAATCTACAGTTTTATAGAAACATTGAAACACCATTTTACACCTTAGCCTGTTACAAGAGTTTAACCAAATCGGGTATTCGATCCTTCGATCTAACTGAACCAGAAACATATGGATCGAGTACTTCATCCTCCCTTCCCTTCACGACCATCCACCTCAACCATCCAACGAGATTGCCTCCCTCAACATCAGCTTGTCCAGTCAGTAATCTTCCTTATATTAGATCGAGCATCACCACCCTAAAACTGTAGACACCATAATCGGGTGGTATTTAACCAAATGTACCAGCAAGAACAGTTGAAACAAGGCATCCGGGCTAGACTAAAATCTGATACTCGTGGTTCAAAGTTCCCATCCGATAGTACATTGCTTGTCTTGATGTCCCGGTGAATAATGTGGGGAACGAATCCATGATGCAGTAAAGCAAGCCCACGAGCTGAGCCAAGGCAAATCTTGAACCAGATAGGTTAATGATAGAAATCCAAGGAAAAATGGTGACATATGTGACAACGAATAAAATCAAGGACTTTTAATGCAATTAAGATGAAATGCGTTTATAAATAAACATGGTGGAAATATAACCACCTAAAGGTGTGGTCGAGTTGGTGGAGTGGGTGAGCATGGAGGTCTTTGGTCATGAGTTCGATTTTCCTTACCAACATTTTTTCGGTCGAGCCTATCACACAGGACTTGTCTAGTACGGTTTACTGGCTGGCGTAGTTTGTAGGCTATTGCGTCAGTCCGATGATTTGCTCAATGCACACTCGAAAGGTAATGACTATGGGTTCTTTCGTCATTAAAAAAAAAAAAAAATAGAGTAGTGACGTTACCAGTTTTTTCTAACTGATTGACAACTTTTTAATTCTATTTTAGTATTCAAAATTTGCTCAGCACGCATTTGTATCCTAATTTTCATTTTGCTTCAATCATATTATCAACCTTACACTAATTAAAACATTTTTTTTTCCTCATGACACGTTTCGTCGAAAAGTCTGTCATGAGAGTGTCAAAAAGACTCACTTGTCCATTATATTTTCAAATAAGAAAAACAATAAATATAAAAAGTGGGACAAAATAATTACCACTCATATCAAAGCAAGTAAATAGAATAATAGATTTTTTGGACCCAATCGATCATCAGAGACTAAATATGCTATTTATTCTTATGCATACTAATAAAAATTTTATATTTTAAAATTAATATATATTTTAAATATATAACTATAACGAAAAAAATTTATGGTGTCCTTACAATTTTGAGGCCCTGTGTGGTCGCTCAACTTGCATGTCCTCAGGGCCACCTCTGCTAATTAATGAAGATTGAGGATAAGAATACTACCAAAAATATGAAAATTAGTGTGACAAGAAGAAAAGATTGAGAACTTTTAGTGTAATTAATATATTGTGCAATAAAATAAATAAATAAAATCTGGTATCAGTATAACTACCTTCGACCGAAACTAATTTATTAGAACTAATAGTACGCTAATTTTACAAATTTAGTAACAACTTGCTCTTTTTGGTAAGTCGAATATACAGTTAGGTTAGAAGATTGGAAACAATATTTCAAAACATATTTCGTCTTTACTCCTTTTTCATGCAAACAAAGTTCTTGTTTTATTTGAATTCTTCTATTATTATTATTTAAATAGTTCAATCAAAAAGAGAATTAAGTCTATCAGAGCTTGAGAGATTTAAGTTTGATACAATAACAAGAACGAGAATTCATTATACAGTAGAAAACTAGTGACCACCAACACTAGAAAACATCAACAACAGAGAATTTGATTTTATTTAATTGATCCTTGTACTTTGTCGTATAACTTTTTGTGAATTATCCAATGTTTTTACCTCATACAAATATTGACAAGTCACTATGTTCTTTGTAACCATACAACCAATTTTTAAGAAAAAATATCCGCCTCAGCTATATTTATGCTCAACAACAAACTCCTAAAGGAATTAAGAATCCGATCACTGTTAGGGAATGAAAACTCAGAAACAATTGTGGATATTTGAATAGCTAATACATCTTTAGCAATTTGAAAGACAATCTTGTATTTATTTACATTCAATTAAGACTCATTGGTTAAATCTTCAAAACGACCATTTAATGTGTAATTTTGAATTTAAATCTAGAATTAATTGCCTACTCAATTGTAATAGGCAGTTGATGAATATGGTTTAGTAGGAATTGTTCGACACTTCATTCAATTTAAGGTTTTGCGTTCACACTTGCAATGAATGATGGATATTTGGGGATGATTTGATTGGGATTGATATCTATTCACTTAGGCGTTGAGTTTAATTTGATTGTGTCTAATATCAATATATTATTTTAACTGGATGTATTTAATTTTAATTTGGTTGAAACAAATTTAAATTAAATTATTATTATTATTTACTTTTTTTTATAAATGGTTTGTAAAGATTGAAACCTAAAACGAATCATTTCGAAACGGTTTGGTTTGGTTCGAATTTAAAACGTTAACGAATCCATGTGGATCTAAACCAACAATTTTAAAAAAGCGGTTTCGGTTCAATTTTGTTGTTGTTTAGTCCTAGTAAAATATATACCACATTTTTTTAATAAGTGCATCACATTTTAATTGCATTAAATGTTTTTGACCCGTTATCAGGGTCACATTTTTGCCTTTAACTTTTTTTCACCATAGTATTATTCTTAACATTTCATTTATTAGCAAAGATAATCCTTAACGAAGATTTTCGTTCAAAAATTGTATTAAGGTGCTCTTGAACGAGAGATAGAATATTCACTCTCCATTTTGTATTTGTAATTTTTATTTTTATTGCTTATTCAAAATACAACTTGCAAACTAGTCTTTTTACCCATTAGTGAATTTTTTAATAGAAACTGTCATTGAGGACAAGATGTGCTAATTGATGAAAAGTTACGCCCCCATTTGAGCTACATTATTTTAAAAATGAAAATAAAAAATATAGTCATTATGGATCCCACACAAAAAATAAAAAGTCAAATATGGTTGCTTAATGTGATGGATAAATGTCATATTTTTTATTTTAACAATGAAATAATGGGGCTAAAACAGGGTCTTAAATATCCGAATGTGATGAAAAAATTGGAGACAAATCTAATAATGAATAAATGTTATAAATCTTTCATGCAATTAAAAAATAATTAGCAAAAAAAAATTCCTTCACTTTACCACAACCTGTCTGGCCCTAGCCCGACGCTACAACAATTATCTACAACACACCATTGTCGATAGCATCTCTAAGGAGTTTGAAAGCTCACTCTAAAAATTATGAATGGAATTCAAGAAAAATAGAATTCCGTCTCTTATTTAATCGAATAACACCACCAAGTATTATACCATTACCACCATCATCCGCAGAATTAATGGCCTCCACCATCACCACTCGTCAATATTCAATTGGCAAATAAGAAAAGGGAGAATAAAGAATGGTGTTTTTCATTTAGAGTGCGCTATCAACAATTGATGCGGTAGTGAGTCTCGTAGTAGAGTAGTAGCTGCAACATAGACTCGTGATCATCAACGCTCTAAATGAATATCTTACATCAATAGCCAACATTTAAAAAATGGAATTTTTTATTTTGAATCCCCAAATCTTTATATATGTATATGCATCATATATAGATATAGGAATGATAATAGGACGAATCGGGAGACAAGTTAGCCATTCCCATCCCTTGCTCCATCGAGTGTTCTTGTCACGTTGCCCCAGCCCATTCTCGAAGTTGTTGTACCGACTTCTTGTTATATGTAATTTTTTAATGGATTGTGGGTGTATGCGTTGATATTTATGCTGATCATCTATAAAGTGTCAGAAGATTGTGCCTCTGCTTTTTTCCTCATGAAGAAATTCAAATGATTGGAGTTTTTCCACTTGGAATTTTTCAGTTCTAATTCTTGTTACGTTGTTTTGACTAGATTATTTGTAACCACGTGTAAAGATAATCTCTAGTTATCACATAATTAAAAAACTATTTCACGTGCAATGCACTGTTCTCACAATTGCATGTTCTTGTTAAGGGTTTGTCCCTATGCTTTTGTATTGCTGCATAGCTGAATTGAATCTTCCTTTTTCAGGGTCTAGTGCAGCTTGAGATTGAAGGTTCTAGTGCTAAAGTTTCTGCCAAATCGCAATCAAATCATGAAGAAGAAATGGTGGATCAGATATCTGAAAGTATGATCTCTGAGAATTTTGATAACTTATCAGTTGAAGATAATTCCTCCATACCAGAAACAGATGATGCAAAAGTTGATTCACATTCTCCAGAAACTTCCAGTTCTAGCATCAACTCTCCTACTTTATCAATGATTTTGAAAATGGATTCTGTAGCTCGAGTTTCCATGTTGAAAAGGCGAATAAGCTCGGTCGAGAGTCTGAACACTTTATCACGTGATGACTGTTTATGGCTGTTTGCTCTTTGTGCAGCAGTTGATTGTCCTCTTGATGCAGACACTTGTGCAGCCCTTCGATCATTACTTCGGAAGTGTGCAAGCTTGCGTGCGGCAAAATCGGAACTTGATGATGATGTTATTATGCTAAATATTCTTACGACGATATCAGGAAGGTACTTTGGACAGTTAGAAAATTGAGGTATACATTTTAGAAAGCATCCAATGAAGCATCATGAGATTGCCCTACACAGGAGCTTCTTTACCGTATTTTGAGTTGAGGTGGATATTTATTTTGATATCTCAATTATCGACACATTTTAGTATTTTGCTGAACTATACCCTGTTGTTCTTTAAACTAGTAGTGACAATTAATGTTTTGAGTTTCAGATACCTTTATTAAAACATGTTTGAAAATTTTAGTTGGAAGTATATTTGACTTGCTTTTGTTCTTTGCCAAATATGTTCTCTCTCCAAAAAAAGTAGGAAAGTTGGAATTCCTTCTGGTTGTACAATGCGTTCGGGAGGGAAGAATCGCTTCTGAGAAGGAATTTATTGATTCTCTCCGAATTATTAGGACTGTAGGTGCGATGATTTACTGTACGTGCAAGATTTCTTTGATTTAACTTCAGGGTAATTTAGCGGCATAGGGAAAAGAATTTGATTACATCATGAATGTTCCACTTCACTCGTATCTATTTTTTTCTCTTCACTCCCCTTGATTCACACTTGAGCTCATATACTCATTGGACCTGTTTGGCGTGAATATGTGCCACTATAAATAACACGCGCAACAAAGAAATAACAATACAATCGAAACCTAACTCCAATATCACGTCAACTCATCACATCTTGAACATTATACCACCCAAGAAGATAAGTTGGAAATTATAATATGGATGTGGAATTAATAATTTTACTGCGAATGTATATTTAATTCTTAGTAACTTATTTTATTATCTACTGCAATATCAATATCATGACTAGAATTGTAAGTTATGAGCTAATCTACAGTTTTATAGAAACAGTGAAACACCATTTTACACCTTAGCCTGTTACAAGAGTTTAACCAAATCGGGTATTCGATCCTTCGATCTAACTGAACCAGAAACATATGGATCGAGTACTTCATCCTCCCTTCCCTTCACGACCATCCACCTCAACCATCCAACGAGATTGCCTCCCTCAACATCAGCTTGTCCAGTCAGTAATCTTCCTTATATTAGATCGAGCATCACCACCCAAAAACTGTAGACACCATAATCGGGTGGTATTTAACCAAATGTACCAGCAAGAACAGTTGAAACAAGGCATCCGGGCTAGACTAAAATCTGATACTCGTGGTTCAAAGTTCCCATCCGATAGTACATTGCTTGTCTTCATGTCCCGGTGAATAATGTGGGGAACGAATCCATGATGCAGTAAAGCAAGCCCACGAGCTGAGCCAAGGCAAATCTTGAACCAGATAGGTTAATGATAGAAATCCAAGGAAAAATGGTGACATATGTGACAACGAATAAAATCAAGGACTTTTAATGCAATTAAGATGAAATGCGTTTATAAATAAACATGGTGGAAATATGACCACCTAAAGGTGTGGTCGAGTTGGTGGAGTGGGTGAGCATGGAGGTCTTTGATCATAAGTTCGATTTTCCTTACCAACACTTTTTCGGTCGAGTCTATTACACATGACTTGTATAGTACGGTTTACTGGTTGGCGTAGTTTGTAGGCTATTACGTCAGCCCGATAATTTACTCAGTGCACACTCCAAAGGTAATGACTATGGGTTCTCTTGTCATTAAAAAAAATAATAATAAAAAAATAAAAAAATAGAGTAGTGACGTTACCAGTTTTTTCTAACTGATTGACAACTTTTTAATTCTATTTTAGTATTCAAAATTTGCTCAGCACGCATTTGTATCCTAATTTTCTTTTGCTTCAATCTTATTATCAACCTTACACTAATTGAAACAATTTTTTTCCTCATGACACGTTTCGTCGAAAAGTCTGTCATGAGTGTCAAAAGACTCACTTGTCCATTATATTTTCAAATAAGAAAAACAATAAATATAAAAAGTGGGACAAAATAATTACCACTCATATCAAAGCAAGTAAATAGAATAATAGATTTTTTGGACACAATCGATCATTAGAGACTAAATATGCTATTTATTCTTATGCATAATCATAAAAATTTTATATTTTAAAATTAATATATATTTTAAATATATAACTATAACGAAAAAAATTTATGGCGTCCTTACAATTTTGAGGCCCTGTGCGGTCGCTCAACTTTCATGTCCTCAGGGCCACCTCTGCTAATTAATGAAGATTGAGGATAAGAAAACTACAAAAAAGATGAAAATTAGTGTGACAAGAAGAAAAGATTGAGAACTTTTAGTGTAATTAATATATTGTGCAATAAAATAAATAAATAAAATCTGGTATCAGTATAATTACGTTCGACCGAAACTAATTTATTAGAACTAATAGTACGCTAATTTTACAAATTGAGTAACAACTTGCTCTTTTTGGTAAGTCGAATATACAGTTAGGTTAGAAGATTGGAAACAATATTTCAAAACACATTTCATCTTTACACCTTTTTCATGCAAACAAAGTTCTTGTTCTATTTGAATTCTTCTATTATTATTTAAATAGTTCAATCAAAAACAGAATTAAGTCTATCAGAGCTTGAGAGATTTAAGTGTGATATAATAACAAGAACGAGAATTCATTATACAGTAGAAAACTAGTGACCACCAAACGCTAGAAAAATCAACAACAAAGAATTTGATTTTATTTAACTGATCCTTGTACTTTGTCGTATAACTTTTTGTGAATTATCCAATGTTTTTACCTCATACAAATATTTGATGAATCACTATGTTCTTTGTAACCATACAACCAATTTTTAAGAAAAATAACCGCCTCAGCTATATTTATGCTCAACAACAAACTCCTAAAGGAATTAAGAATCCGATCACTATTAGGGAATGAAAACTCATAAACAATTGTGAATATTTGAATAGCTAATACATCTTTAGCAATTTGAAAGGCAATCTTGTATTTATTTACATTCAATTAAGACTCATTGGTTAAATCTTCAAAACGACCATTTAATGTGTAATTTTGAATTAAAATCTATAATTAATAGTCTACTCAATTGTAATAAGCAATTGATGAATATGGTTTAGTAGGAATTCTTCGACACTTCATTCAATTTAAGGTTTTGCGTTCACACTTGCAATGAATGATGGATATTTGGGGATGATTTGATTGGGATTGATATCTATTCACTTAGGCGTTGAGTTTAATTTGATTGTGTCTAATATCAATATATTATTTTAACTGGATGTATTTAATTTTAATTTGGTTGAAACAAATTTAAATTAAATTATTATTATTATTTACTTTTTTTTATAAATGGTTTGCAAAGATTGAAACCTAAAACGAATCATTTCGAAACGGTTTGGTTTGGTTCGAACTTTAAACGTTAACGAATCCATGTGGATCTAAACCAACGATTTTAAAAAAGCAGTTTCGGTTCAATTTTGTTGTTGTTTAGCCCTAGTAAAATATATACCACATTTTTTTAATAAGTGCATCACATTTTAATTGCATTGTTTTTGACCCGTTATCGGTGTCACATTTTTGCCTTTAACTTTTTTTCACCATAGTATTATTCTTAACATTTCATTTATTAGCAAAGATAATCCTTAACGAAGATTTTCGTTCAAAAATTGTATTAAGGTGCTCTTGAACGAGAGATAGAATATTCACTCTCCATTTTGTATTTGTAATTTTTATTTTTATTGCTTATTCAAAATACAACTTGCAAACTAGTCTTTTTACCCATTAGTGAATTTTTTTAATAGAAACTGTCATTGAGGACAAGATGTGCTAATTGATGAAAAGTTACGCCCCCATTTGAACTACATTATTTTAAAAATGAAAATAAAAAATATAGTCATTATGGATCCCACACAAAAAATAAAAAGTCAAATATGGTTGCTTAATGTGATGGATAAATGTCATATTTTTTATTTTAACAATGAAATAATGGGGCTAAAACAGGGCCTTAAATATCCGAATGTGATGAAAAAATTGGAGACAAATCTAATAATGAATAAATGTTATAAATCTTTCATGCAATTAAAAAAAAATTAGCAAAAAAAAATTCCTTCACTTTACCACAACCTGTCTGGCCCTAGCCCGACGCTACAACAATTATCTACAACACACCATTGTCGATAGCATCTCTAAGGAGTTTGAAAGCTCACTCTAAAAATTATGAATGGAATTCAAGAAAAATAGAATTCCGTCTCTTATTTAATCGAATAACACCACCAAGTATTATACCATTACCACCATCATCCGCAGAATTAATGGCCTCCACCATCACCACTCGTCAATATTCAATTGGCAAATAAGAAAAGGGAGAATAAAGAATGGTGTTTTTCATTTAGAGTGCGCTATCAACAATTGATGCGGTAGTGAGTCTCGTAGTAGAGTAGTAGCTGCAACATAGACTCGTGATCATCAACGCTCTAAATGAATATCTTACATCAATAGCCAACATTTAAAAAATGGAATTTTTTATTTTGAATCCCCAAATCTTTATATATGTATATGCATCATATATAGATATAGGAATGATAATAGGACGAATCGGGAGACAAGTTAGCCACGCTGTGCATGTATAAGTAGATTCCCAACACAAGTGTGAAAAATTAAATAAATCTAGATTGAAACAACTATTAAATTTCGTGAAATAATCGAGAATTTTAAACATGGGCAAACCAGTTTAGAATTTGCTTGATGTTTGGTGACATCCATTAAAATTTTCCTTAGAACAAGAAAAAGAAACCAAAGAATGTACACCGTTGTACTATTATTAATAATTGTTGACTTGACGAAGTCCACCCACAAATTTATGAAACAAAAAAGTTAAAGCCGGCAAAAGGTTTTCCTTTCCCAGCCAATAGGCTTGACATCACTTTGGAAATAATAATGCAATCTGAGTCAAAAGCTAGCCGATAACAATTTCCCTGAATGATATCGTACGATGTTATTTACTTAACTTTTAAGATTACAAGTTTTAAGAACAAACAACTCATTATTTACATTATTATATTATTTTACTTATATTAAATGTATTCCTAGATATCAAGGTCTATCTCAAATACTACGGAACAATCCTTACCACATCAATGAAATAAACTCCAGTCTCATCTGGAATATGAATAACTTAAAAAAATATATTAAAAAAAAGTACTTTTTAAATTTAGCCATTGCATTTTTAATTATTTTGCTGTATTAAAGTTAGATTTATGCTATTAGATTATTTTAAATTAGACCACAATGATTTGTCGGTTTGTTGAACCGTTACCATATTTAAAGTTATAACATGTGACATTTACTATTTGGATTTGAATCTCTCACTTCAACTTTCAACTTCTCACAATAACTGTTGATCTCGATTTTTGCACGGATGATGTGGTCAACAAATCACGACTCTACTCACGTTCACATAATATATTGCCTGCACACTTGTATAAATCATTTGCAGCACGTGGCCTTCTTTGAAGGTGAGGGAGGTAGCTACATGCACTCCGACAATTATATGAGTCGCTAATAAGAATGTATTTGGGTGTGGGATGTGCTTAGACGTAAGCTACAAAGGTGTTCAAATATTGACGATCAACTCTTTCCATTAGCTCTTGTTGCTAAACGTGCTAATCCTACTTGGACGATAAAAATTGACGGCAATTAAACATGTCTTTTAGGTAAATGTAGCCTAATAACCATGACTAAATTAAGTAGCATATTTACTTGGAAACGTAAGAGCATCAAATTGTCGTCAATTTTTAACATTCAGTATAAAAAATACAGCTTCAGTTTGTAAACAAATTCAGAACAAACAACAAACTATAAACGATACAACATACATGATCATCAACTATGAAATTCAATAATTTTATTTTTGTACAAGACGTCAATCTCCATCTCGCAAATAAAGCTTTTACCCTATGACTTTTTTCTTGCTCTAATGAACTCAAAAAAAGGTCCCAGCTAGGAATTAAGGAAGCTTCTTCAATTCACTATTGGGTTCTTCTGTTCATACTCGTAAAGATCATACTTTTCTTCGTTACACTCAGTATTGTAATGTAGGTCAGATCGAGTAGAAGTGGTTAACTTGGATTTAATTGAAATAGAAAATATAGTGTAAAGGTTCTTTATTAATTTGTGTAAACCAGTCACTGTTCCTTTTTTTTTTTTTTTGTCTTTTTCTTAAATTCATTTTTGATTGTACATTTTATGGGACTTAACTTTTTTCTTTTATCAATTTTTCAGCCAAGAGATAAAGGAAGTTATCTTAACTTGGAAGTTATTTGCAAGTTAAGATATTGTTTTGCTTAAATCTCATTTGGTACCTTTTGTCATTTGTAAAGAGGTAATAGAAGCAGAGAAAAACGAGAGAAAGAAAAGAAAGGAAAGAAAAAGAGAAGAAGAAGAAGAAAGAAAGAGACAACAGCTAAACATTAATGAGTTCAGGTTCTTCAATTTCTACAGGTAAGCAATAGGTTTACTTATTGAAAAAAGAGGTTTGATTTTAAGGTTTAGGGACAATTTGCTTATATTCTAAGTTTAGCAAGAACTGAAGATTATTCATATGTATTTGAGGTATTAAACAATAATATTGCAAATAATAATGTATATTGGAATATTAGTGTTGAAGTGAAAATATGAAATGGATTTGTAAATCAGAACTTCAACATTTAAATTTATTGTGTGTATATGATGCCAATACTCGATTTATGATGTATTAGAGTGAGATGATGATTTGAGGTTTGATTTGGGTATTTTTAACTTACGAATTAGAGTTGAACATGTTATTCTGAAATACTTTATAGGTCTTATAAAAGTAACAGTTGATATTAATTTGTTGGGAGGATTTAATAAGTTTCAAATGAACTAAAGAAAATAAAATTTAGGATAGAAATTTAAGAGAAGTACTCTCAAAACTCAACTTTGATGATTTCTGTAGATCAAGATTTATCAAGTCAAAATTCATTGAATCTAAATTAATTGAATATTAATTAATTGAAAACTAATAACACGAAATTCATACTTGATAAGAAATTTGTAGCATTTATTACATATTGAAAAACGAAAAGTAAGGTATTATTTTAATAATTGAATTGTATAGGATTAAAATCATCCAAAAAAACTATTCTCACTTGATGTGATATTCAATATACTATATATTTTCTTCCATTTCCGTGCAAAATTCCCACATCGATTCTACTTCGAAATTTTGCCCAAAAAGAGCTATTTTGTCAAAGTTTTAGTGGAAGTGTTCAATATACAGAAACTGATGCCCTATTACAATAGTTTGGAAGCAGTGTTATTTTTGTCAATATTCTGATCTTCATGGATTTTTTAGTATGAAAATGTTTCAAATGTTGGGGATTTTGGATTAAAATAACTCATGTAAAGGAGTTACACGTAATTAGACTTTAATTGGGATTATGAGGTTGAAAATCAAAGACATCAAGTTATTTTTAGTTACTCTGTATTCCCAATGATAGTAATGACACTTGAGGCAACTCTACGAAAAGATACGATGTATTGGACTAGTATGAGATTCTAAACTTGATACTTGAATGTAAGAAGGTGGCGAAGATCGTACCATTTGACCTAGTTTGCAGTCTATAACTTGGTGAGCGAAAAACTTATTTCAAAAAATATGCATTCATTAATTGATATTAGTTCATAAATTTTATTTGGAGTGCTTATAATAAAGTATTTTAAGTTGCAAAAGTTACTCATTTCAAATAATTGAGTTCATAATTGATTTGAGAGCATTGATTATCAGAATAAAATGATTTTTCTAAATAAGTAGATCCTTTTAAAATTAAATTTAGTTCAGTTAAATTATTTCATTGTCATATTATACAAAACCACAAGAAGTATCTATTTAATTTTACCCTAGTCCTCATGGATGCGAATTTTTTTCAGAGTCTAAGATGACCCGCTCTGCACTGATATGAATGTATTTCTACAGTGTAACATCAGATATTGATGTTACTACTTCAATTATAATTAAATGGATTGCCTGTATAGGAGCTTTTTCGTCTACTTGTTTCTTATTTAGTGAGATGAAGCAATAGAGGAAAAGATGATGGAGCATAAACAGAGCCCCGTCTCTTTCGATCAAAGCAACCTCACCAACTGAATCAAGAATTTGATTACTAGTAGGAAATGCAAATTCAAAAAGAATTGTGAATATTTGAATAGCTAACACGTCTTTAGCAATTTAAGGGGACAATCTTGTATTTATTTACATTCAATTAAGACTCATTGGTTAAATCTTCAAAACGACCATTTAATGTGTAATTTTGAATTAAAATCTATAATTAATAGTCTACTCAATTGTAATAAGCAATTGATGAATATGGTTTAGTAGGAATTCTTCGACACTTCATTCAATTTAAGGTTTTGCGTTCACACTTGCAATGAATGATGGATATTTGGGGATGATTTGATTGGGATTGATATCTATTCACTTAGGCGTTGAGTTTAATTTGATTGTGTCTAATATCAATATATTATTTTAACTGGATGTATTTAATTTTAATTTGGTTGAAACAAATTTAAATTAAATTATTATTATTATTTACTTTTTTTTATAAATGGTTTGCAAAGATTGAAACCTAAAACGAATCATTTCGAAACGGTTTGGTTTGGTTCGAACTTTAAACGTTAACGAATCCATGTGGATCTAAACCAACGATTTTAAAAAAGCAGTTTCGGTTCAATTTTGTTGTTGTTTAGCCCTAGTAAAATATATACCACATTTTTTTAATAAGTGCATCACATTTTAATTGCATTGTTTTTGACCCGTTATCGGTGTCACATTTTTGCCTTTAACTTTTTTTCACCATAGTATTATTCTTAACATTTCATTTATTAGCAAAGATAATCCTTAACGAAGATTTTCGTTCAAAAATTGTATTAACGTGCTCTTAAACGAGAGAGAGAATATTCACTCTCCATTTTGTATTTGTAATTTTTATTTTTATTGCTTATTCAAAATACAATTTGCAAACTAGTCTTTTTACTCATTAGTGAATTTTTTTAATAGAAACTGTCATTGAGGACAAGATGTGCTAATTGATGAAAAGTTACGCCCCCATTTGAATAATGCCGTCGTCAGCATCTTTCTGTTTAATCACAAACTTGACAAATATGTGTTTAAGAAAGGTATTATCTACTTCTAAATAGAATAAAAGAGCATTTACTATAAATTTAATCTCAAGTAGCTCCCCTCTCGGTGCAGGTCAACGACGTTTTCATATTATAAACCTTGAGTGGGGCTTTTCCAAATTCATCAAGAAGGAAACTTTGATGGATCCAAGGAATGGATACCTTGTCAATGATACTTGTGTATTTGGAGCGGAGGTTTTTGTTGTCAAGAACGAAAGAATTAGAGAGTGCTTGTCTATCTTGAAAGCAACTAATTCCTATAAGCATGAATTGGAGGTTTCAAAATTCTCGGAATTGGAAAATGAATGGTATTCTGAAGAGTTCAATGCTCATTAGTGAATTTTTTTAATAGAAACTGTCATTGAGGACAAGATGTGCTAATTGATGAAAAGTTACGCCCCCATTTGAGCTACATTATTTTAAAAATGAAAATAAAAAATATAGTCATTATGGATCCCACACAAAAAATAAAAAGTCAAATATGGTTGCTTAATGTGATGGATAAATGTCATATTTTTTATTTTAACAATGAAATAATGGGGCTAAAACAGGGCCTTAAATATCCGAATGTGATGAAAAAATTGGAGACAAATCTAATAATGAATAAATGTTATAAATCTTTCATGCAATTAAAAAAAAAAAAAATTAAGGCACATTTCTCCATATGCATGAAGAACAAGTATGGAAAAGCAAGTAGCAAGCGTCTCGGTAAGAAAACAACTTTCTTCTGTTACTGAACTTCATGCTACTAATTGTTATCATTATATCTGCATTCAATAATTTTATTTTTTCAGCAAATCACTGGTTTTCGGCTTCAAGCAGCAGTTATGGATGGCCTAGTTGCATTCTAGTCGCTGATATAAATAACCCTTATAAAGGATTTTCAGTTGAAGATCACTGCATTATTGAAGTTGAATTATCTATTCAAGCTGTCTTGCGTGGTTTACCGTAAGATTCAATTTTCTGTAGTAAAATGGGATTTAAAGGGTTCTTGCTTACTAGATTCATGTTAATAGAAACATCCATGCTTAAACTATTGCTTATTTTATTTTGGCTAAATTGCACTCGATGTCCCCAATGTTTGCCTCTTGTAGCACGTTTGCTATCTCCTTTTTACGTCGCAGTTTAAGCTCAACTTTTTGTTGATTATCAAGTTTTGTTCTCAACGATCCGGGTCATGTCCTCCTTTTCTAGTATGTATTTATACAGTTTGAGCACGAGTAGCTAATTTTCAAATAGATAGGACAATGATGAAAATCCTATTTCGAAATTTTAATTCTATCATTTTTTTTTTCCGTGATTAACAATTTGTTATGGTCTTATTGATTTAGCCAATATTTGGGTTGATTTTAGTACCATATGGTTAATTTTATCCCCATTGTTTGCCTCTTGTTGCTCTTTCCTTTTTGACATTGCACTCTACAAAAGTTTTTGTTGATTATCAAGTTTTGTTCTCAACGACGGTTTCCATCCAAGTAGGCCGTTAAATAATTCATGTGATTATACTATTATTTGTCTATAACGTTAGATATATCAAAAAAGTATTAAATGGATAATTATAAGGTTATTTATATTCGCCCAACAATTTTCATTATTTGTTTTATATTTTAATTGAATTTAAGGTTACTTAATCTTTTCCCATTGTAGTGTATAAGTTAATTACTTTTTTAAACATATTTTTATCTTCACCAAGCAACATGTGCTAATTAATTAAAAGAAGTTTATGATTACAATAATGAGAAAAGATTGAGTATCTTTATTGCAATTAAAATGTGATGCACCAAATAAAAAGTAAGGTATAAATATAATTAATTACCCAAGAAAAAAACAAAATAAATTAGTCATCTTCCTCCAATCCACCGTACCCCTCATACTCACGTTCACATAATATATTGCCTGCACACTTGTATAAATCATTTGCAGCACGTGGCCTTCTTTGAAGGTGAGGGAGGTAGCTACATGCACTCCGACAATTATATGAGTCGCTAATAAGAATGTATTTGGGTGTGGGATGTGCTTAGACGTAAGCTACAAAGGTGTTCAAATATTGACGATCAACTCTTTCCATTAGCTCTTGTTGCTAAACGTGCTAATCCTACTTGGACGATAAAAATTGACGGCAATTAAACATGTCTTTTAGGTAAATGTAGCCTAATAACCATGACTAAATTAAGTAGCATATTTACTTGGAAACGTAAGAGCATCAAATTGTCGTCAATTTTTAACATTCAGTATAAAAAATACAGCTTCAGTTTGTAAACAAATTCAGAACAAACAACAAACTATAAACGATACAACATACATGATCATCAACTATGAAATTCAATAATTTTATTTTTGTACAAGACGTCAATCTCCATCTCGCGAATAAAGCTTTTACCTTATGAATTTTTTCTTGTTCTAATGAACTCAAAAAAGGTCCCAGCTAGGAATTAAGGAAGCTTCTTCAATTCACTATTGGGTTCTTCTGTTCATACTCGTAAAGATCATACTTTTCTTCGTTACACTCAGTATTGTAATGTAGGTCAGATCGAGTAGAAGTGGTTAACTTGGATTTAATTGAAATAGAAAATATAGTGTAAAGGTTCTTTATTAATTTGTGTAAACCAGTCGCTGTTCCTTTTTTTTTTTTTTTTTTTGTCTTTTTCTTAAATTCATTTTTGATTGTACATGTTATGGGACTTAACTTTTTTCTTTTTATCAATTTTTCAGCCAAGAGATAAAGGAAGTTATCTTAACTTGGAAGTTATTTGCAAGTTAAGATATTGTTTTGCTTAAATCTCATTTGGTACCTTTCGTCATTTGTAAAGAGGTAATAGAAGCAGAGAAAAACGAGAGAAAGGAAAGAAAGGAAAGAAAAAGAGAAGAAGAAGAAGAAAGAAAGAGACAACAGCTAAACATTAATGAGTTCAGGTTCTTCAATTTCTAGAGGTGAGCAATATGTTTACTTATTGAAAAAAGAGGTTTGATTTTAAGGTTTAGGGACAATTTGCTTATATTCTAAGTTTAGCAAGAACTGAAGATTATTGATATGTATTTGAGGTATTAAACAATAATATTGCAAATAATAATGTATATTGGAATATTAGTGTTGAAGTGAAAATATGAAATGGATTTGTAAATCAGAACTTCAACATTTAAATTTATTGTGTGTATATGATGCCAATACTCGATTTATGATGTATTAGAGTGAGATGATGATTTGAGGTTTGATTTGGGTATTTTTAACTTACGAGTTAGAGTTGAACATGTTATTCTGAAATACTTTATAGGTCTTATAAAAGTAACAGTTGATATTAATTTGTTGGGAGGATTTAATAAGTTTCAAATGAATTAAAGAAAATAAATTTAGGATAGAAATTTAAGAGAAGTACTCTCAAAACTCAACTTTGATGATTTCTGTAGATCAAGATTTATCAAATCAAAATTCATTGAATCTAGATTAATTAAATGTTAATTAATTGAAAATTAATAACATGAAATTCATATTTGATAAGAAATTTGTAGCATTTATTACATATTGAAAAACGAAAAGTAATGTATTATTTAAATAATTGAATTGTATAGGATTAAAATCATCCAAAAAACTAGTCTCACTTGATGTGATATTCAATATACTATATATTTTCTTCCATTTTCGTGCAAAATTCCCACATCGATTCCACTTCGAAATTATGCCCAAAAAGAGCTATTTTGTCAAAGTTTTAGTGAAAGTGTTCAATATACAGAAACTGATGCCCTATTACAATAGTTTGGAAGCATAGTGTTATTTTTGTCAATATTTTGATCTTCATGGATTTTTTAGTATGAAAATGTTTCAAATGTTGGGGATTTTGTATTAAAATAACTCATGTAAAGGAGTTACACGTAATTAGACTTTAATTGGGATTATGAGGTTGAAAATCAAAGACATCAAGTTACTATTAGTTACTCTGTATTCCCAATGATAGTAATGACACTTGAGGCAACTCTACAAAAAGATACGATGTATCGGACTAGTATGAGATTCTAAACTTGATACTTGAACGTAAGAAGGTGGCGAAGATCGTACCGTTTGACCTAGTTTGCAGTCTATAACTTGGTGAGCGAAAAACTTATTTCAAAAAATAAGCATTCATTAATTTATATTAGTTCATAAATTTTATTTGGAGTGCTTATAATAAAGTATTTTAAGTTGCAAAAGTTACTTATTTCAAATAATTGAGTTCATAATTGATTTGAGAGCATTGATTATCAGAATAAAATGATTTTTCTAAATAAGCAGATCCTTTTAAAATTAAATTTAGTTCAGTTAAATTATTTCATTGTCATATTATACAAAACCACAAGAAGTATCTACGTAATTTTACCCTAGTCCTCATGGATGCTAATTTTTTCCAGAGTCTAAGATGACCCGCTCTGCACTGATATGAATGTATTTCTACAGTGTAACATCAGATATTGATGTTACTACTTCAATTATAATTAAATGGATTGCCTGTATAGGAGCTTTTTCGTCTACTTGTTTCTTATTTAGTGAGATGAAGCAATAGAGGAAAAGATGATGGAGCATAAACAGAGCCCCGTCTCTTTCGATCAAAGCAACCTCATGGATAATCTTCCGAGTATTGGCGATGACAATGGTGAGTACCGTTTCATTCTTCCTAATGCTTATTTAACAGAGTGGAATATTTTTAATATAATTTGTTTTGTGTTAAAATTTGGCAGAAGTTACATTAGAAACAAGAAACTTTTCTCCTGCACACTTGTTGTTCAAAATTGAGTCATTCTCCTTGCTCTCAGAGAATGGTATAGACAAGATTGAATCAAGTGAATTTGAATCAAACGATAACTACAAATGGTATTTCTTGTTATCAACTTATCAATAACCATTTGTACAAAGCCATTCGTTTTCCGAAATTTTTCATCTAAATTTCTCTATTAGGAAGTTGATAATATATCCTAATGGGCGAAACACAGTGGATGGAGCCAATCATGTTTCTGCTTACTTGGCTGTAGAAAATGTAAGTAATCTGGAAGCTGGCTGGGAATTTAATGCCGTCGTCAGCATCTTTCTGTTTAATCACAAACTTGACAAATATGTGTTTAAGAAAGGTATTATCTACTTCTAAATAGAGTAAAAGAGCATTTACTATAAATTTAATCTCAAGTAGCTCACCTCTCGGTGCAGGTCAACGACGTTTTCATATTATAAACCTTGAGTGGGGCTTTTCCAAATTCATCAAGAAGGAAACTTTGATGGATCCCAGGAATGGATACCTTGTCAATGATACTTGTGTATTTGGAGCGGAGGTTTTTGTTGTCAAGAACAAAAGAATTAGAGAGTGCTTGTCTATCTTGAAAGCAACTAATTCCTATAAGCATGAATTGGAGGTTTCAAAATTCTCGGAATTGGAAAATGAATGGTATTCTGAAGAGTTCAATGCTGGGGATCATAAATGGTATATCTCTATGTGATTTTCTTGTGCAATGATACATCTTTCCTTTACTAGACCTTTCGATTACATTTTTTTTTTCTGGTAATTTTAGGAAGGTTAGTGTGTATCCGAAAGCAAAAGGTAATGGAGCTCAACCGGGAATTCAAGCTTCCATTTTCTTGCATAAAGTTGGATTTTCTTCAGGTAAAAAAATTAAGGCACATTTCTCCATATGCATGAAGAACAAGTATGGAAAAGCAAGTAGCAAGCGTCTCGGTAAGAAAACAACTCTTTTCTGTTACTGAACTTCATGTTACTAATTGTTATCATTATATCTGCATTCAATAATTTTGTTTTTATTTTTACTTCTTCAGCAAATCACTGGTTTTCGGCTTCAAGCAGCAGTTATGGATGGCCTAGTTGCATTCTAGTCGCTGATATAAATAACCCTTATAAAGGATTTTCAGTTGAAGATCACTGCATTATTGAAGTTGAAATATCTATTCAAGCCGTCTTGCGTGGTTTACCGTAAGATTCAATTTTCTGTAGTAAAATTGGATTTAAAGGGTCCTTGCTTACTAGATTCATGTTAACAGAAACATCCATACTTAAACTATTGCTTATTTTATTTTGACTAAATTGCACTCACTGTCCCCAATGTTTGCCTCTTGTAGCACGTTTGGTATCTCCTTTTTACGTCGCAGTTTAAGCTCAACTTTTTGTTGATTATCAATTTTTGTTCTCAACGATCCGGGTCATGTCCTCCTTTTCTAGTATGTATTTATACAGTTTGAGCACGAGTAGCTAACTTTCAAATAGATCGGACAATGATAAAAATCGTATTTCGAAATTTTAATTCTATCATTTTTTTTCCGTGATTAACAATTTGTTATGGTCTTATTGATTTAGCCAATATTTGGGTTGATTTTAGTACCATATGGTTAATTTTATCCCCATTGTTTGCCCCTTGTTGCTCTTTCCTTTTTGACATTGCACTCTACAAAAGTTTTTGTTGATTATCAAGTTTTGTTCTCAATGACGGTTTCCATCCAAGTAGGCCGTTAAATAATTCATGTGATTATACTATTATTTGTCTATAACGTTAGATATATCAAAAAAGTATTAAATGGATAATTATAAGGTTATTTATATTCGCCCAACAATTTTCATTATTTGTTTTATATTTTAATTGAATTTAAGGTTACTTAATCTTTTCCCATTGTAGTGTATAAGTTAATTACTTTTTTAAACATATTTTTATCTTCACCAAGCAACATGTGCTAATTAATTAAAAGAAGTTTATGATTACAATAATGAGAAAAGATTGAGTATCTTTATTGCAAGTAAAATGTGATGCACCAAATAAAAAGTAAGGTATAAATATAATTAATTACCCAAGAAAAAACAAAATAAATTAGTCATCTTCCTCCAATCCACCGTACCCCTCCAAACATTTCACTTGTTACTTTACCATCCTTTTATGCGGGGTCGACTAAAGGTATCCTAGCACCCACATTCGTTAATTTTGTACAGCCTTTAGGTCCTTTTTTCTAAGATCAAAATTTTTTTGGTCCAAAGACTCGAGGTTTATTAGAAGCCTAATCCCCGTTGACGGTCCACTAAGGAATAATGCTCAAGCACTGAGCATCAATCATGAAACAATGTTAAATCGTATACAAAATTAAAGAGTAAACAAAACTCAGAAGAAGCCCCCAGAAATCTCGTAATTTAACTTACTTGTTTATCAACATCAACCAAAACCTTTTTCTCTTTTTAACCATGAAAACACTCGAGGCTTGTTTGATTCCAATTTTTCCCAAAATACATTTTTCTCTATCTTTTTTTCAATCACATATTCTCCAATAAAATAATGTTACAAACAAACTCAAAAAAATTTTGGAACTTAAACAAGTCATCAGCTGTGATTCCACAGAGGAACCACAAAACAAAGAAGAGAAGAATAATGTTAACCACAGATTGAAAACGGTAAGACGAAGAACAGAACCAGAAGTCGTTTCGAGAGAGAAAGCATGTATCCTCTCTCTTTTCACATCAACGACTGGCATATATACGGGAACTTACTAAAGGCCCTCAATCCAACGGCTAATTATGCTCCGCAATTCATCATCTTATTTTAATACTCTATTATTTTCCAAAAGTAATGAGTTTTGACCCTTCATATTTGAAGCAAAAACCTCAAGAACTCTATCTTGCCACAAATATGACTTCACATGTAGTGCTTGAGTATACCAAGTTCGGTCTTCAGTACCTTAAAAAAAAA